ACTGGGAGCTGGTTATTATTTATGGGTTGTTGAGGGTAGAACTTTATGCTTTCACCTCATTATATCGTCATAATTCACTGTTGCAAAGTCATACAGTATTTTTCCAATTTCAGCATAAACGTGAACGGAGTTTTAAATGCTTGTGAGTAGTAAAACACCTGAATGGACTGGATTTATGGACTGCATTATGCCGTTGCAGGACATGTGGCCTATTTGCCTGAACTACAATGTAACTAGACCATGACTCATCTGTATACTTTAACTCTCTGGGGACTACTAGATTCAAGCTCCACTATATCAGCTAGAGACAGGCCTCTCTCCTGCTGTCCTGCCTTCTTTATTCACATCTGGAGCCATCATGCTAGGAGCTCCCCGAAGGGTTCCCAAGGTTGATAGTACGATTACACAGATGCCACTACAACACACGCACAAGGACGGAGAGAGGAAAAAAGGAAAAGGAGGCGTTTGAGGATTTTTTTTTTTCAACAAAATCAAGCTGCAGTATATACATCACAGGATGTTTTTCCCTTCAGACCCCAGGGTAGCTTTAAGGGTGGTGGGGGTGGCAGTAGAGAAAACACTCTATTTAGAGACAAGCCTCAAATACTACAAATCAATAAATGATGGGATTCAACAGTGTGTAAAGCAGGGCTCTTGAACTCAAATGACCACTGCTAAAAAGCTGAAAAAGACCTCACATTTAATAAAAATAAAGTTTTCTCATTCTTAAATGACTCAGTAATTTACTATCTGTATACAAAAAATGAACAATATCAATTATTTTAAGATTACTGACATCTAGTCACGGGCCGAATATGAGGAGTTTGCGGGCCAGAAGTGGTCCTCGGGCCAGATGTTTGAAATCCCTGGTCCAAAAGTCCTTGCATGAATTTCGTAGATGCTCTTGATGTTTAAAAACAATGATAACAATGTCACAGTGCGCAGGATTATACCAAAGATAATCCCTCCCTGCAGAGACCAGACATTATAGTGAATGACAATGACAATGTGTGTTTACATTTGTGTGTTTAAGCCTATTACTCTCCGAAACTCCGACCGTTGTGTAAAGATTTTCAAGCAGACCTATGACTCATCATGGAGTGCGAGTGAGACCCCTGAGGTCAGGCACCACAGAACACAGGCAAACAGAGCCACGCGGTACATACCAAGAAGAACGGTAGACCTGGCAACCAGAGGATTTCATCAGGTCACGGATAATAAGGTCCAATCCCAGCAGTCACATGACTGTTCCCACTGCTGATGGTTCAAACCTACACTGAGCTTTAGTTTGTTTATAAATCTATTCCTTCACGTGTTTAGACTGTGGGGGGGGGGACATCTCAATAGTTTCACTTGGCTTCACTGCTTTACAGTAACTTTGGATCGAAATCAGCAGAGAAAAGGGACTAATGGAGAGCCTGAGCGACAGCTCCAGGGCATTATCAAACAAAATGCTTGTTACACAAACAAGCTCTGATGCTGCTTCCAATTTGTGTCCAATTACATGGTTCTCACAGGCCTTTGGGACTAACACAGATCTCAGGGCAGATTACGGATCCATCCAGCATGGAGACCTCCAACAGGAGCTAAATGCTGCCATTCTAACTGTGATCCTGCAGACGGAGGAGGTGTGTGTCGGTGTATGTGTGTGTGTGTCTGTGATAGAAAGCTATTCGTCATCTTTGGTCACACCTGACGATTTGGTAAGATATTTTTTATTTAGGACCCTCACCCGACAAGACTGATATGGCTGAACCTGGAGCTGTGAATGACTGAAGGCAACAGGAAAACCACAGCAGTGAAACAGTCTCACACTGTGTTACACCTGCTGTTACTCTGCCTACACTGCTCTCAGCTGGATTACAGTCTTTTATTATTGAGTTATCATGTGATTTCTGTTACTACAAATACAACTAATTGAACAATAACAGCATCAGCAGCCAATCACAGAGGTCTACCAAGGTTTGTAAAACTGCATGGACTGTAGTGTGGGATGAAGTTAGATGATAAACAGAAAGTTTACATAATACATATTTCATGGAGCAACATGTAGAAGTCACACATATTGACACCTGTCAATATATGAAATAGTTACTTTAAAAAAAATAAACCACGTGCTTCTCTCTTAGATAATATATGGTCTGATTTTTCCATTCAACTATATGCATATCATAGTGGTCTCTCACCAACCTGATCTCTGTAACTCTGAGGGAGCATAAGATGCATTTCTGCATTTTTTGCTCTCACAGTTAGTAAAATGAGAAAATAAACTGAGGCTGTATTTATCTCGGTGTACTGTGGATGGATGGATGGATGGACGAACGGACGGACAGACAGACAGACAGACAGACAGATAGACAGATAGGTAGCTGGATAGATACATAGATACTTGAGAGACAGATAGATAGGTAGATGGATAGATACATAGATACTTGAGGATTCACCTCCTTATGGTAAATTAAGGTACTAATGTGTCCATAGTGAATATTGAGTCTGTGACATAGAGATTATGCCTGACTGGTGGAGAGGCAGCAGAGATTGAACCTCAGACCAGTCATAAAATCTGTAGCTGCCAACACTACACTCACCAGACTGTCTGTGTTTATGGATGTGATGCTGTAAAAGTTGTTTGCACCAAAATCTCAACCTATACCAACAACGCAGTACAGGAATCATTGATCATAACAGCAGAATATACTGTATTCATTACCTCCAACTCTCTGTTGTTTATGTGTGTTCAAAGTTTTTATGCACCTTTACTACCAAGACGGCAGTAATACAGTACAAGTACAATCGAGTGAAAATGTGTCCAGTGCTGCCACAGCCTGAGCCTGTGATAACAGACAATACTGCACTCCAAGACAAAAAGCCTTGTTTCAAATAAACCTTCCAAATAGAAAATTAATCAATTTAAGTATGTCATTCATTAAAGAAACAAGTCTCTAAATTTGAAAATTAATTAAAACATTCCTTTATAAGATATTCCATATATTAATTTTATGACACATTTTACTAGGAATTTATATTTCCAATACATTGACTCTCTATCAGTTACTGAAAGCTCTGTCCAAATGTTTTGACGAACTGCAGTAAAAAAAAAGAAAAAAAAGACACAGCTGAGGAAACACCAATGTAGTTTTTCTGTCAATATCTGTAAATATATTTTACAAAAAAAAAAACACTTCCTGTGAGCCCTGACGTGAGTAAATCTGTGAACTCTTCCTACATTGCAGGTCCAATGCACTGCAGTGAATCAGATGAAGAACCTACGGTCTACACTGCCACCTGGTGGCAATATAGGAAATAAAATGGGTCAAAATGACAAATCTGGACAACAAAATGTTAAAGTAACTCGTTAAAAGAATAGCTAACGGTCTAACATATATACAGCAGTCACATGATGCTTCGAAATGCAAAAAATAAAGGTCTTACGTACGGATTCTTAGAAGAAACAAGAGGACTGAATGACAGGTCTGACACCAGGTATGACAAAGAATGTCTATGATGAGTTCTTTTCATAGCCCAGAAAATTACACTACACACACACACATACATGCGCGCGCGGGCACACACACACACGCACATGGCAATCAGCTATTTGCATGCTTTGGAAAGGTCTAATCAATTCTGCAACAATGATCTGAATGACTGGAGACATTTATCCACCAGTCTAGATTGTAATTACTCGTGGCCTCTACCTCCTGCTGCTGTCTGTTTGATTAGAACACTATTGATATTCTATGGACTGTGAGGGATTTTTAAAAAAATGGCGCACACACACACACACACACACCTTCACCTCAGTATATCACTTTTATGGCCAGACAAATTGCGTGTTGGTGTTGTTGATGCTGATGTGCTGGTCGTTTTAAAGCAGACAGCCTGAGCTGAGACGAGCTTCTCCTCCGTGTTCCTTTTGAACCACGTTCAGACGCCGTGTCCTGCAGGGTTAGTACCAGGCTCCACAATATGACTCATCTCACCACGTTATAGATGCCAAAATGATGTGAACACACTGTGACTGCAGAAATATATGGAGCCGGCCCTGTGTTATTGCACTCACAGCCTCTGCCTTTCAGAATGACACTCCAAAAACAACTTGTTGTTGGTTTGGATATAAGGTTTTTTTTGTTTGTTTGTTTTATTTTGTTTTTTTTCTGTGCAAAAGAATGTGTCCTGTGAAGGTTCCGATACTGAACATCTGACACTGGTTTCGTACTACAGCTGGGACACATGCTGAAATGTGCAGCATGATTTTTTTGTGCAGCAAGATCGCAGCGTCCAGCCACTTCTCTAATGTTTTAGGCTGATGCGCTGGAATTTTAACATTTAGTTAATTTTCGAACAAAATTATTTTCTCTTAGGAAATGTATTTTTCCGCCAATGTCTAACTATTTAGCATATTTCTAGTTATGTCTTTTATGTCTGTTCACCTGTATTTTGTGATTTGAATTTATTATATGTATACACATATATAGATACATATAAATGTCATTTGATCAATATGTTACTTCACCTTCTTATATTTCTTATTTCTACTGATTTACTGATTTATTTTCAATATTTTTTATCTTATATTTCTTATTTCTACTGATTTATTTTCAATATTTTTTTAAAGTGTAACAGTTGAGTGTAGCGTTTCTTACCGTGTAATGCAACTTAAATTAATCTTCTTCGAAATTCTCTGGAAACTACACCAACAGGTAAAAAATAAAACCTGGCAACCCCATGCCAGGTGCTGGATGCTGCAAAATAAGACAAAAAAGTAAAAGATCAGATTCAAAACAGGAATAAAAAATACTGCGTTTGAATTGTGGGAAAACAGTCAGTAGGAAAATCACTGGTCAACATTCTTTACTAACTCTTCTGGACATTTCACAACAATCGGCTCTAGAGGGGATTCAAATTGAACTTGTGAAATACAGTGAGCAAAGAAAAAGAAATTCCACAGTTTGGACCAGCAGCTACTGAACTACCACAAGCCTCCAACAACCAACCAACACCGTTGAACCTCTTTTATTGCTATCATTCATATTCATACACCAGATAAACATGCACTGAGTTACTTTTTATTTACAGCAGGAAAGCAAAAAGGATTATTTTGTTTACTTGACGTTACAGTAAAATAAATACATTTTACAGGAGAACTCTAGAGGAGCTGCGACGTGAGAAGCCAAAGTCACCTGGAGGCATCGTTTTGTGTCTCTCAACTGACGACAAAGTAGAACAGATGGACCACGGTTTCCGCGTGTTTTCCCACATTTGCTCTACTTGAGAGTCTTTTTGATGAATCAGCTCCACGGGAAATATATAAGTGTACGTAGCTAAAGAGTAAAATGGCGTCAGTAGTCTCTCTTTGGCCCCTCAGTGGCATTAAGGCCTGCTATTGTTCACGTCCATTAAACACAGTCTGCCTGTTAGCTTGTGTCGCCGTTCAGCAACATCCAAAGATCCACTGTCTATAACCGGCTGTCCTTTCAACAGATACAGTTCAAATAAGAGCACGAGTCGAAAGAAATCCTGCAGTGATGGACCCAGATGGGACGACTCAATATTATTATTATTAATTATTAACATTCAAAATGTTTTCACCTCCAGCTAGTAAAAAAAATCTAAATCATGTCAAAAACAGTTAAAAATGAAAACAAGTGTTTCATTTGATTCTCATGCAGAAAGACAAAAAAAATAAATCCTACTTTTCCATTATTGGCAGGCAACGAGAAGAGTCAAATGATATAAATGACAGCTTAGAAAATCCATTTAAACATAAATAGAGATGTAATTAAAACTCAATGTAATAGGTTTCAAAAGGCATCGGAAAACAAATGGCTGTGATTTGACCTTCTATTGGGTCGTGTAAACATCCAAGAGGTTGAAGTCAAAATGTAAAAAACTCACATTATGATTAAAAGAACTGTTCAGTTCAGTCTCTGAATGATTATGTTAATAAATAAACGACTGACGGTGATACAGCAGTACAGATACAGCTATAAATAAACATGCAACTGCGTTCAACTGAAGACTGCTGCCACTTGGCACTGACTGTATGGTATTTTATAAACAAGTGGATATTTCCTTTGGAATGAAAATGAAAATTATTGATAAAGTGAGGGACATTATATTCCTGGACAGACACCTTGAGGGCTGGACGTTCAATTAAAATGAAATAAAAATCATTTTGTCGAGCATTAATATTTGTGGTGGGCCAGACTGGACGGTTTGGTATCTGTAATAATAAAGATACAATATTTCTGCAGGGTCTTCAATGTTTCTATGTTATGAAGGCTGCACAGAAATAGTATCAGGCAGCAGATGGGATGACTGAGGAATGACTAATAAAGGACACTGACTCACTGAAACAGAGACGACGTCTAGACATGGGAATATTTCTTGAGATGTTTCTGGTATTATTTTTTTTTCCCCGGATTATCTAGACGACATCAGAAAAAGTGATGAAAGAAATGATGTGGAAGACCGGATCTGTCCTGGATCTGCAACATTTTAATAATATACAGATGATGTAACGCTACTGAAACCTTCTCCCTATTTCGTTCATATTCAAATCCCTCCAAAGGCGTTGCACCTACACCTACGTCTGTCTTTTACAGTGTGGTACTGCAGTCACTGTGAGGTGTGTTACTCTTCCATTACAGCAGGTGAACACTGTCTACAGACGGTATCTGTCATGTCATTGTACTGCGATGGTAAGTTTACACAAATACTGCTGGACCTTGACACACTTGATCTCCAAATATAAGTTGGTATTTGTAGAATAAAGTACTTCCCTTTAAAAATTACATTCTAAAAAAGAAAAAAAAAAAAAGAACATAATGCCAAACGTTTAGCCTTGTTAAATGTCAAAGTTACCAGAACCATTTTACAAATCTAATTTGCTGCCTGTTAGACACTGTACCACATTGCGGCGCTGTGGCCCTTTATCTAAAAGCTGAGTTGCTAAGACGTCTCACGGCTCTGGTTAATGTAATTAAAGTGAACACAAACACTGAGTCTCACAGGAAGAACATTTTCTTTGTCAAACGTGAGAAAATTGTGGACCATACATAGATTACTGGGCAGAAACACATTTGTCGCAGGCTATGGTTGTAGCATGTGTAGCTAATGTGTTTTTCAGCTAATGAAAGATATGTGAGGTAAGTTAGTAAAATCTGTGATTTATTTTGATACTGTGAAGTTTAAGCCAAACAAACAGTCTCACAATACATTTTTGTTTTGTTTTTCAAATTGGAGAAATATATATATATTCATATATGGAGTTAGACTATTTGTCGACTCTATGCATGTAGATGGTTGTTCGTCCCTATATGTCATGTCCTGTGATGGACTGCACACCAGTTCTGACCTCGATCGATGACTGTTGGGATCAACTGCAGCTCCTTCACACCCTGAAAAGGAGGACTGGACTAAATGGCTCCAGAGATACTGCACAACAGAGGAAAATAAAACTGGATCAGAGATTGGCGCTCACTTGTTAACACCAGTAGCATCTGTGCTCACATTAGTCAAACTAAAGGTTATATTGTTTACACCATGGTACCAGCCCACATGGATTTACATTTAAAATAAAACGACTTCTGCAGAAAAAATGCAAACTAACCTCCGTTAGTCTCAGGTAGCCCACTACCACTGCTGGGGTAAATACAAGGGGGTTTCATTTGGAGTACTTACGTATTTGATCAAACCTCAGAATTCCCTAAAACGGCCGTGTACCAGTCTGCTACTTTGTTTATTGATCTAAATGTGGAGAGAGAGTCAGGTTTATTTGAATGACTCCTTGATATTAAAGTACACTTCATGTCTACATACACTCTCTGTCTCCTACTCTCTGGGATTCACCGTCACAAGAGCTAAAAGTACAAATAATACGTCCAGTAGAGGAGGTTGACCATGACGAAGGACAGAGGGAAGGTGAGTCTGGAGTAGTAGTCTATGTGGTGTGGATTCTCTATGTGGCAGCATGTCATGGAGCGCAGCACTTTGCGGAGAGTGGTCAGAACAGTGAGGCACCAAATGGTGGACTCCGGAGGCGACGCCTCGGGCTTGGGCTCACTGCCTGAAGGACTGGAGGGGCTGACAGTCAGTTCTGTGGGGGCAGGAGCCGGGGGAGGAGTAGCAGCAGGTTCCTTGCGTCTCTTGGCTCGGTTGGAGTGTCTGGAGATGGTGGTAACGATGCCGTTCATTTCATCCTCGAAGTCATGCATGTGGTGACCGTACTGCAGGAGAGAAGTGGAGAAAAAGACGTAGGAGTCATTTTTTAAAATTTATATATGAAACTGAAATTCAATGTTTTTAAATGTGTGACACAACTCACAACTCCACACGTTAATGATGATGGTGATGATGGGCAAGCAGGAAATGACTGTGATGACCATACATTCATGACACTGTGAAGGGAAGAGGTTTTACCATGAGCATGTGTGTGTCGGGGTGTGTTAAGGTGCAGAAGTGGGCCACGGCGTACTCAATGAGAGCACCGAAGATGAAGCTGAAGCAGATCCCCAGGTACACGTCGATGGCTTTGATGAAACAGTTGGCGTTGGGCAGAGACGTCCTGGCTCCCATCATCAAAGTGGTCATGGTCAGCACCGTGGTCACTCCTGGGACGGAACACAAAAACACTCAGCCATTTCTATATATATACTGTATATATTTTTAAATACAGTGTTGAGTTTTTCCCATTCGTGCTAGTGGGAAAAACTCTATGTCATTACTACTGTGAGCATAAGCTGTGGGAGTGGAGTCAAACCTCCACTTCCTGTGCAAACAGTAGGTTTATGCAAGTTATCTGCACACAGAGAAGCCAGTTCATGTGACAAAAGTATGATGTGAAGCATAAAATTGGCTACACAAAAAAATGAAACCTTCTAAATATAAGCTTTTCTTTGCACAGCCACATTGTATTTGCCAATAATGAAGACATAAAGTACACAGCTTAGTACATGAAATCCCAAATGAAATTCATTCACAGTAATAGATATTCTCTTAAACCCAAATCTACAGCTTTTACATTACAAATTCTCCAGATTCTAATTGGTCCAAAACAAAATACAAAACAGATATAATACCATTTATATGGTTATATGATTAAAAAGCACCAGAATTGAACTACAGAGACGCCTAAACTTGTACACAAACCTGACAAATTTCATGAAATACACCAGATGATATATAGTATTACTGCAGTTAAGCCTCAAATTCAGAGCAAATCTTTTGGATGTATGTTTCCTGGATGTATGAAAAGCAGAGGAACATTCTTTAAAAGGCCACTTATTTTCATACCTATACAAATCCGTGCCGGAACGGAGGATAGAGAAATCCAGAAGGAAACCCAGGAGAGGACTACCAGCAGGCTGGAGGGTACGTAGGTCTCCAGGATGAAGTAGAGAATGCTCCTCTTCAGCTCAAAGTGGAACACCAACTTAGGGTAATTGCCTTTGAGAAGAAGGACAGTAAACGCATCACATCAGAGCATTTTTGGCCCCTGAAAAAAAGTCTTTCAAACTAATTAAAATACTGTACATCCTCGATATATTTTCCAAAGCAATGAAACTGTGACATAAGTCGAAAACGCCCTGAATTTAGAAAAGTTTAGAAATGTACTTCAACACTGTGTACTATTGTACCTGTCTCATAGATGGCCTCTGACACTGAGGTGTAATGGTCCTCTACTGTGTACTGGGCCAGCTGTAGAGTGTCCAAGCCACTGACGGACTCATTCCCTCTGGTCCAGTAAAACATGACGTCATTGATATTGTAGCCCCCTGCAGGTAGAAACACACATAACGTTATTGTCACATCATAACCATACATCTAAGTATACACTATACATCTTGTCTTTTTACTGTGTGTATCTGTAGTATAGAGACATGCTAGTGAAGCTGTAGCACGTGTCCCAGTAGAACCGGTCCAGGTCTAGTCCTGACACTTCATTCAGACTGAACGCTGTTGAGGCAGAGCAGCTCCTAATGACTGCTTCTGTTCATAGGCAATCGATGCAGCCTTAAAACCATCAAATTACACACAAACCATAAAATTAAAACATAATTGATGTTGTGTAACTGATAAAACCCCATTACCTTCGCCATTTCTCACACCGTCGGTTAACGCTTCAGTGCCTGTGCAACTGCTGCTCGACAAATGAGCGGCAACGTCAGTGATTGTCTGTTCACAGCTAGGCAACATGAAATATACCTCCACACAGGTGGGCATATTATCATCCCATTAGAAATACCCCTAAAACCTGCTTTGATTTATGACTTCAGCGTTGATAACAAAGCTGATATTGATTCAAATTTGAAAATGGTGATTGTAGATCCAGGAACTGATCTCTGTACAGCAGTAGTGGATTTCTCTTTAAAACTAAACAGTAACAATAGGAGATTTGGCCAAAAACTACAGCAGATGTGGAAATAAAACACCTTAAAAAGGGTAAATTAAGACATCGTATTTCTTGTTTTTATTACTGGTATTAAAATGCAATATGATTTTGAAATATAGTGTGAAAATATAGATTTAAAGTAAATTTCTAGTCCCGATGAGCACTTAAATTATTAAGGTTACTGGTGTGGGTACGTTTGTCATCAAACAAAGCTACCAGTGGAGTGTTGTATAAAATATATAGTCTGGAATGGATCCCACAACCCAGTCAGACCCAGAAATCTATCAGGAAATATAAATATAAACACGGTATTTAATGTCAAATAGGGAAATAAATCACTGTTGATATTGTGTTGAGATTAAAAAAAATTAAACTACATTAACAGGATATATAAGACAGAAACGAGTTTTTACACTGAGGAGATAATTTTATATCCAAACTATTTGGCGTAATTTTCTAATCGATCTGTAGAGGGAGCAAAAGAATAAGAAAAGGAAAAGTTGCAGTGATGGGAAACGTTTCAATCATCCTTTTAACGCCCCTTGACCCTGGGGTGAATGACGCTGTGAGTAAATGAACTTTGGTAAAAGTATTTTTATCCTTTATATCCAAAGACTACATTTCTTTTTCTGTCAATTTATCTTGGAAGATAATAAATAGCAACAATACTGTAAGTGACCGCAGTTTTTATGCAAAACTTTCTTTTGAGTTTTTCTTGTGTCTTACACTGACAAAAATACTGATCTTATCACTATAAATAAACAACAACATCAAGTGCAAGGCAGAGGATGAAGAAGAAGAGGAGCGGAGACAGACAGACAGAGCAGCAGGATGACAGATAAAGGAGAGGGGGATAAAACAGACAGACAGGTATTCAAGTGAGAGTTACTGACGCAACGAAGGAGGGAAGGAGTCCTGCTCCTGTCAGTTACCTAACGCTGAGCCTCACAGGGCTTTTTGACATCGGCTAAGTCGCACTGAAGCTGCCAATAAATGACTGTCATTGAGGTCGTGTTGGGATTCAGGCCCAGATCAGACTGACGTCTGCCCAACTGCTCGTCATTTTATGGCGAAAAGCTGAGTTAAGGACAAATTAGCCAGCGAGCAGTGGGAACTGGAGAGGCGAGACCTGGAGAGACCTCTGCCTTCCATCCTTCATCTCCAGAGGCAGAAAAAAAAGATTAAAAATGAATGTGATGTAATAGAAAGGCAATATTGACTTGTCTAACCATTGTAGTCTCCTGCTTTACCTCCACATGGATTCTATTGATTTGCATCCTTTCAATGAGATTTTTTGTCAAAGCTGTCAGACTGGCTGTACTGTAGTATATATTCATATGTATGTAGGCGGCACATGATTTACCACAGTACATGGGATTAGTATGAGGGGCAGCACCGGCTGTCAGACTAACACCAAGAAGCACTTATCACAGCTGTAGCACTCGTGTTCTTATTGTACTGTTTAAGTTCTAGGAGCATATTTTGACATTAAAAAAAATCTCTAAAAAAATTGTATTAAAGGTTTCGGGAAGGATACGAGTAAAAGACGAGTCTTTAAAGGGTCTGAAAACTCACTTTTCTGTGCCCTGCTGCACAGAAATGGTGCTGCAAGACTACGGGCCAAGAAAAACTCCATATCTGCAGAAAAACTATTCAGAGCCGGAGTAAAGAATAAAAAGAGAAAGATAGAAAGATGGCACAGCCTGGAAATCATTTCATGTTTGGAGCATGTCACCACGAGGGAGAGATGATGATGAAGATGATGATGATGAGGGAACATTTCTGTTCATGTTCTGTGTCAACTAGGAATTCAGCGAGGAACAAAATGATCTTTTTATGAAGAATGAATTTGTAAAGGAAGTCCAAGCAGTAATATTTCTGGGTTTTCCTCTCTTTTTCGCCACTCTGTGACTGACCGTTACTGCCACCAACCATAATAAACATTAATAGTACAGGGATTCTTTCTATTGCCAGTAGTCAGAGCTGAGCTCAGCTATTTCTATCCAGGTCAAAGTTCTGCCCAAAGCGCCTCAAATATCATGTAAAATTTACATTTGCTCCAGTGTGTTTCATAATGAAAAGTTTCAGGAAAATAATACAATTTTAGGGGCTTTCACCAAACTATGACCTAAATTACTCCTGTCATTCAGCGTGACAATGCACGCTTCTGCCCCCACTGCAGAGACGTGAGCTTCACTCAAGATGTGTTTGATCCTCTGGTTTGATCAGATTCATTTGAAATCACGCCCACCCGCCGACTCTCAGCCTCAGCCTCCAGCTGCGGAGTTCTCATCTTCTCTATTAAATATAACATGCTCCTTACAGCTCTCCAGTTGCAAAGTACAGGTCTGTTTGTCCATAGGGTACTTGGTCAGATCCATGTTGCAGGCCACGGTGGTCGTAATCCTGAAAAACAGAAGGTGGGGCTCGTTAAAAACACCACAGAATGACAGAGAATCATCTCTGTGTTGGAGTCTGTTGGCATCAGGTATTTCACTTCCCATATTTAAGCTGCCATCAAAGCAGTCCAGTCTAGTAATTGCACCTGCCCTCCAATTACCCTCTGCCAAAATTCAACTTCCCCTCAATCCTGCCTCCTCATCCCCAGTGGTACAGCAGTCAAACATTTACCACAGCTGCCTGTGAACCTTCCCCTCCCCCGTCATCTCTCACCCCTCCTCACTGTCTTTTCACCTTCTTCAGTCCCAGAGATGGGCTTCTCTTTTTTAATTATCTTTCATTGTTCTCCTCACGTCTGATTTTTTTTTGTACCTCTATGAGGAAACCTTCATTTTCAAACCAACACACACACACAGAAAGTAGGTACACACATGAAGTATAACACCTTATTATAGCACACACTGGAAGAGTGTGTTAATCCAACGCAGTACACCAGTACGCACCACAAAGTAATTATTTTCTGGTCAAATTCTACTCTTCCAATACTGCATTCTTCGTTGTGGAGGCTGAGCAGCGTTACACACAGATCTCTTGTCAGGTGATGGAGTTTGTTTCCATCACAACCGACTACAGCTATGATCAGTGGAATAATAAAAGGGAATTCAAACAGTCCTGAGATGAAGTGAAAAAATATTGTAAATTCAGGTCTTCTCACTTCTGCGAGCACAGTTTCATTCGGAGAACAAAAATATATGGAATGCAATATAATTTTTATTTAGTCACAACTGACCGTCTCAGTATGAAACCTGTGCCTGTTTAGTTGAACACTATCCTGATATGCTCGCAGTAATGGACAAAAGACTGACACAATGATCGTCCCCAGCTTTTTAGGTTTATAGCTATGTGCTGCCACCTAGTGGAAGAGCCCTGTCACTGTGTTGTCAGACCAATCAAGATCAACAGTAAATTTCCCCTTTTGTGCCCATCGTACCTCAACATCCTTAAACCTAAAAGCTAAAATAACAGTTTTTAAAATGTAGCTTTTTGATATATTGTGCCACAGTCAACAGAACGAACAGTCACAGTGCCAATCCCACCTCAGCGCATAAAGCACAGTTCCATTGGGAAAGATACGGATGAGTCTGTTCTCGACGGTGATGTCGTGGAGGAAGGACTTTTTGGAGTCAACGATGAAGGTGTCAGGGACCCAGAGGAGCTCCACCAGCCGCCCGTCCAGACTCAGGCTTTTGTTGCCCTCAAAGACCAAACGCTCATCTGTCCAGCGCTGTCGCAGGAATATGGTTGCAGTGTAGTCCTGCAGTAATGAGCCATAAAAACCACATTAGAGTTCACAGCTTTAACAGGCGTGTCAGGAATACGCTGACAGACGGATCATTCTTTTGCAAAAAAAACCAAAAAAAACAGTTGGCTTGCTTATTTCTGTGTGTGTGTGTGTGTGTATTGTTGGGTAGTGACGGCGTCAGTGCCTTCAGCTCTTCAGTAATCCTCCAGCATTGCTCCAGGTCAGCAAGTCTGCTCTGGTTTTACAGCAGAGAGAGCTGATTTTTTTTCTCCCCCACTTTCACTCTCAAAGTCCTGGTGTTACATCACATGTAGTGGCATAATTAGGTTCCTTCACTGACTTGCAACATGCTGTGAGTTTAATTTCCAAACATTCATGTTCAACAGAACAGAAGTCAACACCATCACACCCAGAGGAAAGAGAACTTCTCAAAGTTAGTTGTGTACTCTTTAAAAAAACTTTGGTGGAATTTTGTCTCTGATATACTTTGATTCTGTTTACATTATATCCTTTTGTGTTGCTGTATTTCTTCGTACTGTGCCAATGCATACAGGGGGCAGTTATTGGCATTTGGCAAAAGCAAGAAGTCATTTTTTTCATCTTTATCCAGTCTGGATACAGAGTTGGATTATCAGAATAAAAAGATTAAAGCAGGGACGCTTTAAACACTACTGTGTGTCTTTAGTTATTTTGTATTATTCTGTTGCTATGTGCCTTGCAATAGCATACTGCAAACTATCTGGAAATGGCCCATACTGTAGATATGTCACATGGACTCACCATGTTGATTTCTGAGATCGTGTCAATGCTGGCGATGTCCAAACTCATGCCCACAGTCACTGGACCATCTGGAAACAAACAAACAAAACAAACAGAAAACAATGGTCTAAATCTGCAGCGACATCTACTGATGTTGTAATAATGAAGCGGAAATAGAAACAGTTCTTAGATAAGCTGCAGTGCTGCCCTGCTAGTTTTGAAAGCAAATGCAGATGAATTCATTTCTTTTTAACCAATAATCTATTTACACTTTACAACACCTACAGTAAAGACAGTCTGTGCCCTGAAGTCAACAGGTTTTACAGCTGAAAACATACCATTGCATCCATTTTGAAATTTATGGTGTAATGATAGAAAAGGTCTTGGGGGGCAAATGCATCTCATTATTGTTTTTACTATTGCCACAGGGGGAAACTGAAGTGAATTGGAGTTTTATCTTACACTGTAATTTTTATTTGCTTTTTTAATGATAGGGAGAGAGAGAGAGAGAGAGAGAGAGAAAGGGGGAAAATAAGAAATGAGAAATATATTATTTCTACAAACTGGGCCATAAGTTATAAACATAAAAATATTTTTTTAATTGAAAATAAAAATGGTGCAAAACTGTTTCACCAAGCAGACATTTCTTGTCCTAATGCCCCATGTCAACCAACCACATGAGGTTGCAGACCTTCTTAAATATTATAAAAGGTTGTTGAAGGACAGCAGCAAAGTTAGTCAAAAGACTTCTCCCATTCTCCCATTCCTGGCACATCAACAGTGGAATTCTGTCATGTCTGAATCTCCTCGAGGCGCTCAGTTCTCCCTGATTCACCATCAAAGAAGAGTAACTTCTGCACGTTCTGGTGTTTCATCTTTCCATTCTCATTCCCTCTCATTTTTAATCTTCATTTCAGTGAGGGGGGAGTAATGAGCCTGCTGTCAGAGCGCAGACACTCAACACATCTTTGTGTTTTCCTGTAACACTGTGTGGGTCGGTGAGGAACTTTCTTCATGTGCATCTGATGTGACCGACCGCTGGGTTTTTGCGAAGGCATTACAAATTAAACATTAGTTGAACTGTTTGGAGATTCATCTAAATCTTCTCCTAATAACAGGCTTTTATTATGACATATTACACTATCTGTTTGGTGTAAAACCACTCCTGTCCTTGGTGACAGCTCCATTTGCTCATTTTCTACCAGCTGTTGTTCCTTCTTTTAATCCTTTTACTACACTAATATTCATCAGTCTGACGCTCTATCATACACCAAATACACAGTGACGTCGCCTCGCCTCATTCCTGTGGAATAAAAAGCATTTTCAAAATCAAAGTCTATTAATACGGAGTTACCTTTCCCTAACCAACCATTCATTAAGTTGGAGAATGTCTGGGGATCGTTATTCCTACTGTACGTATGTGGCACTGAGTGGATTCTGACAAGCAGTCAAAACCCACACGCTGCCCGAAAATAGGTTCACTCACAGTATCTGTGACCAAAAGAAACAGCAAAAAAAAAAAAAATTACATTTCATAAAAAAGACATGAAAAGAATCTGTGCAGGACTGTCCAATGAACACACTGCTGATGTTAACTGATTTAATTGGGTTAAAATGCACCAGGAGCCTGAAGTTCCACCTCAGTCCTGCATGTGTTTGAGGAGAATCTAACTTCAGGTCTGACGTCAGATCGACATCACAGAGAGAAGGGCAGTGAAAAAGTCCATGGATGTGACATGGATTGTGAAGGACTGTAGACTGATTAATATTGTTGAGGATGAGGACGAGGAAAACAACTCTCCCGTCCACTTTTGAGATACACAGTAATGCCCTCAAATCCACCAGCTCTATGAAGCTTCATTTTGAGTTCTACTTTTTCTTGTCATTTTTTCCATATTAACGATTTCATCTTTTGGATTAGTTACACATAAAAACTGCTGTGAAACACAACCCTCTACCTGCTGTTATGTGTCTTCCTGTTCCTACATTACCCTGTAAATAGTCAGTTGTAGGTACAGCATGTTGATTTATCTGGACTAAATATGATTTATCCACAGCTACACTGTGGTTTGTCATAATTAAAATCTGTGACAGCCGCAATAACAATATAACCAGACTGGATACAGGTTTGTGGTTACAGACCTCACAGTAGATGGATATATGGGAATATGACCTACATGCTGCTGAACATTATTCATTTGGTCAATTAGTTCTGATGAAGCACACATTTTAGCCTGTTGGTGGCAGTAATGCACCTTGGAATGTGTGTGCCAGCCATGAAGAAGATGCAGGATGAATTCCATGACATCATCCATGGAAGTTTGGTGCAACTGCAAACTTCAACTGATTTACTGATGAAGCACTGAACTGATGCTGGTGAGTATGAAGGCGATGAAGCAGAAAAGGAGGCGGAGCTTCATCTTATGTTAATAATTAAAGCCAGTTGTCTTCAGATTATTGTGTGAGTGAATCATCTTTACAGATGAAATTGTTCATTCTTAGATACTTTTTTAAAATAATACAATTTAAAAATATGTTTAACATTTTTGGTGTGACTTTTACAGTATACATATATTTAATGTACATTTTTAAAAGGGGTGCAACATATATTCTGTAAAATACAGATTTTGTTTTACAACTAAACCCTGAATCAATGCTACTTTTGTGATTTGTAGACATGGCTGTAAATAATGGCTTCAGATAACGATGTGTATTTTTCAAAGCGGAATCATCCGCATATAAAGACATTCCTTGTTACCGAGTCACAGGCCGTTTCCAAAGGACAAATTGACTTCATGTCGTCCTTTGACTTGCAAATGCAGTAAATTCAAATGCACAAACTCTACATCAGCCTTTGTGCTGAGGGGCCACAAACAGTCGCACGTAACAGCAGCAACATAACCAGTAATATATTTCCCCGGAGTGGCTGCACGCGTGTGTAGTTTCCTTACTGTCAAAGAAGGGCCTCAGGTACTTGTTGTAGCCTTTCATCAGCCTCTGAATGGTGGGAGGAAGGATCTCTCCTTCTTTGACTTCTGCCTTGATCAATGAACTCTGGAGCAACCTGGGTATAAAGACAGCAATAGAGAGATCATAAATAAGAGTGATTATTTTTCCGCCGCACATTTCTCCTCACAACTCTTTC